AGAGGGGAGAGAAGAAGATGAAGATGAAGGTGAGTAAAAAGATAGAAAGCACAGAAAGGAGAGAGGTAGAGGAGAGGAGAGAGAGGGAAGGTGATGAAATGGAAGAGAGAGAGAGAGAGAGAGAGGGAGGCAATAGAGAAGAAATGATTCCCTTCAAGACACCAATGGAATTTTAGTGGACAAGCACATGAACAAAGCTAACTATATTGCCTTACCTATTTGTCCACTTTCAGGGCTGGACTTCTGATATCAATTTCTTTGGTTAAAATGTTTACTTCTTAAACATTTTTTGTAATTCCCTTGATGGACATTATTTCTGGGGCAGAACTAATTGTCTGTTAGGTAAAGTTGTAAAGAAGGTTAGCTGTTTCCTAGTCTGACTCATCTTTCCTCAGTCAGAGCAACAGCTTTCTGTCTGTACATCAGTGGACCAGCAGTGACAGAGAGACACCCTGAAAAATGAAGGCTCCCCCACTGAGGGACTTATTGCACCAATGATATCTGCGAAGTGTTCTGAATGCAGCCCACTGGAACGGGGAGGGATGGCAAGGATCACCTTCTCATTCTTTTGGGAAGCAAGCAGGAAGGGGACAGGTACAGAAGGGGACAGAGATGCCCAAGGGCCTGGATGGAAGTCACCTGCTCTGCTAACCTCAGATTATTGATGAATCTGAAGCAGGAATGAGCACAGAGGGCCTGGTGGCACCTGCACCACTTTGCAAGTGTCAGCACAGTGGCCTAGAGAAGAGTTCCCTTAAGAGGACATCCTGTCCTGGTGCAGTTCAAGCTCAGCACTTGCATCTGTCCTCCTGGTGCAGCCTCCAGATGCCTCTGCCTGATTCCCTGCTGCCCCCACACCTTCCAAAGCTCCATAGTCTAAAACCACCCTAGAAACTTAGATTCCTTTGCACCAACTTGTTACCTGTTACCTGATAGCCTTCCTGAAGCTTTGGAAGAAGCCAGTGGATTTCAAAGAAGCTTGCTGGGAGTTGTGGGTTGCTGCTATTTATTCTTTGAAAAGCTCCTCCCCCTCTTGTGAAATTCCATTTATGGTTTTGGATTGGAAGGAATCAGATGGTAGTTGCCAGGAAAACCAAAAAAACTCTCCAAATCCCCAGCTTCTGATCAATTTCAACTGATTCTTAAACAACTTTTGTACAGAGTGAAATTTCTCCCCCGGGAAATGTTTCATTCTGCTGTTTATAGATATGGTACCTAGGAGTTGGAGTCATTGTTTAGAGAGGGTTGGAAGGCCCATTGGATATTAATCTCCTGGCCCCCCAGGATGCTGTTCTTCCTTGGGCCCTTGGAGCAGATTCCTCCTGCAGCCTTCTTTGATGAGGATTAAAGGGGAGAAGAGAGAGGGAATAGTGGAATAAATTGGACCTCAAAAGATGAATTGCATTAAGACTTTGTTCATAGGGTTGCTACGAGTTGCCTGTGACTCGACAGCATTTAACAACAACTAGCGATGATGTACATAATACCCATCTGTACAATGTTTGGATAAGTTTCTAGATTGATTTATGCTGGGAAGCAAGAGTGGCATTCACTTCCTAAATGAGATGCCTCTGGAAACTCTACAAACTTTCTAAACTCTACAAACTCTTTATACTCTATAAATGTACAGAAATTATGTTAGTTATAGAACAGAGTCCTGTACATAAATGATGTTAGCTGTATAACAGAAGTCAGGTCTTTTGTGCCAAGTTTACTCTCAGTTGTATTCGATTTGACACTTAACCACTGTTAAAATTAAACTAGTGCTGTTTTATCTGGAGGAACACTCTTCCGCTTTGTACATCACTCTTTGTCATTGTGCTGTATGAAGTAGCCTGGGTTTGTGGTGATGCTGAACCTTGTACCACTGAGATATCAGATACCAGAATGGTTTCCCAATGTGAACAGTGTTTGGTGGAGCTCCCAGTTGTAAAACAGGTTTGGAAGCAGGAGTAGCATCCACTTCCTAAACCACATGCTTCTGGAAACTCTATGAACTTGGAGAAATGACAATAGTTATGGAAAGGCATCAGGTCTTTTGTTCATAGAGTTGCTATGAGTTGCGCTCAACTCGATGGCAATCAAGAACAACATGCCCATCTTTTCCCTGTGGTGTGACTGGTGGACTCAAATTGATGACTTCTTAGCTAGCAGCCTAAATGGGCTCATTAAAAAGAGCAGCCAACCTCTAGAGAAGAACATCACAGTTGGATATGTGGTGGGTCAGTTAGAGAGAGGAACACTCTCAGCAAAGTGGACGGATGTAATGATTGTAAAATGGGCTTAAACAAAACAGATATGGGGAAGATCGTGCAGGATCAGGCAGGGTTTTTTATAGAGAATTCTTGTGAGTTAGAGTTGACTGCTAAGGACCTAACAACAACAAAAATAAACCCAAATTTTTAAAATATGTATTAGTGACTACCACTGAAAATAGAGTTCTTAAAATGATAATTTTTTTTCTTTTGCTAGTTTGTTATTTGGCACGTGCGGGTTTACTATGATTGTCTTGTTCTTTGCTTCTGTTGAGTTTGTTCCATCCTGTAGCAAAATACTGCCTGGTCCTGCATCACCCTCATAAATTGTTACTAGTTTTGAGCCCTTTGTCAACGCAGCCATTGGAGCTACTGGGTCCGTTAATTTTGTTGAGAGACTTCCTCTTACTCCCATCTTCCACTTCACCAAACTTGGCCTTCTTCTCCATGATGGAGAAGATATGCTGGGATGTGCAAAACACATTTATTTTGTTGTTGTTTATTAGTCCAGTTACGAGGATTTTTGTTTTCTTTAAGACTATTGTAACTTCTGCAAAATTTGTCTCTTTACATTTAAATAAAATCCCTCTTTATCTTGCACAGTGCTTTTAATTTTAAATGCCATTTATGCAATACTAATATTGTCATTTGTTAGCAAATTTCTTTTCATTCAGTTCTATAGATCTTGGCCTATTTTAATCCATCCATCTCTAATTTTGTGAGATCATTGTATTGTACTTGATCGTAGATATATTTCTTATGTGTTGTCTCATGTGTTTAAGAGATCTAGTTCTGGAAGGATAAAGGCAGAAAGGTGTGTCAACTTTTACAACCTGGCTTTGGAAGTCCAATGGTATCTCTCTGGCAACGTCTTATTGTTTGATTCAGCACTTTCCCCACCTCCTACTGTGGATGTAGCCATATGGTACATTTGTATTGGAAAAAGGTCCTCCTTTCTATAATACTGCATGCAGGCATACTTCAGACATACTGTGGGTTTCTTTCCAGACCCACACACTAAATCCAAGCTCTCAGTCAAGGGAGTCACAGAAAGTTTTTAATTTCCTAGTTTGTACAATCACCTCACACCCAATTGTGAGCAACAGCCACACCTGTCTCAATCCCAAACAAGAAAACACGTTTTTGCAGAATCCAGCCATTCTGCCCATCTTCCCAGACTGAAAAGTAGCCCCAGACTCATGGCCAGTGCCTTTTTAAATAAGAAGGCAAATCCAATCGGCTCACACCCAGTTGCAAGCAACAGCCACATCCACGTCTCAACCCTAAACCAGACAACACATCTTTGCAGAATCTGCTTATCTTCCCAGACTAGAAAGTGAAAAAAGGCATTTTGCCACCAGTCTGAGGCTACTTTCCAGTCTGGGAAGATGAACAGAATGGCCAGATTCTGCAAAGATGTGTTGTCTGGTTTGGGGTTGAGGCTTGGGTGTGGCTATTGTGAGCTGTTGTGTAACCATATTTGACCTCATATTTAGAAAGGCACTTGTGTATCTCCCAAATAAAATAAGCTAGGAAGCAGGAGTGACATCCACTTACAAAAAAGCTTGCCTCCAAAACTCTATGAACGTAGAGAAAAGATGAAAGTTTCATGTTTAAGACTTTTATTCATAGCGTCACTATGAGTCGTCTATGACACAATGGCACTTAACAACAAAAGTCTGTACAAGAGTTACTTTTGTACTAGACTATAGTTTTTAAAGTATGCTCTGTTGTTGTTATGTACCATCAAGTCGACTGTATGTACATTAACTCTGAACTCTGCCCTATCCTGAAGTAATCTCATCATCTCCAACAGGTCTAATCCCATTTCTCCAATCATTGAGTCAGTCCATCTCGTCCTGGGTCTTCCTCTCCTGCGCTGTCCTTCAACTTTTCCAAGAATGATGTATATGAAAAAAAGTCTCAAAATCCTTGCCTTCAATGATATTTGAATAAGTAATTCAGGAGCCACATGAACACTCCTTAGCCTTCTTTTGAAGGTTAATTTTAGTCTACTTTAAGTACATAGATGCATATCCTGAGGGTGATCAATTTGTTCCTGTAGTTAAAGACACTTTCATTAGTGTAAAATAGTGTAGGCAGCAATGGAATGGCTACATCTAATCTCTATTAACACCAGAAAGGGTAATTATCAACAACATCCAAAGTACAAAATTAATCCCTATGAGATCAGGCATGGTTTCTATATTACTGTCCTGGCTTCTACAAGAGGCATTCATGAGAACAGAGCAAGGAAACACTGCATAGTTCAAAATTGGGAAGGGTGTCCATCAGACACCTGTCTCCATACCTTTTCAATCTGTATGTAGAACAGATCATCCAGAACACTGGGCTGTATGAGGAGGAATGTGGCATCAGGATTGGTGGAAAATTCATCAACAACCTGTGTTATGCAGATGACACAACCCTGCATGCTGAAATTGAGAAGGACCTGAAGTGCTTGCTGCAGAAAGTCAAGAACTGCAGCCTTCAATACGGACTGAAGCTCAACATCAAGGAAACAAAGATTCTCACCACTGAGCAAATTGGCAACATCAGTGTGGATGGGGAAGAGATTGAAATAGTTAACAGTTTTAGTTTGCTTGGCTCAGTCAACACTCTTGGTACCAGCAGCCAGGAAATTAAAAGATTAATTGCATTGGGAAAGTCAGCTGTCAGGATGTTGAAGAGCAACAATGTCGGGCTGGAGACTAAGGTGTGCCTGATCTGGGCTATAGTCTTCACAATTGTGTGCTATGCATTGGAGAACTGGACAGTGACTAGGGATGATAGAAAGAGAATTGATGCCTTTGAGCTGTGGTGCTGGAGAAGACTGTTGAATGTACCATGGTCTGCTAGGAGAACAAACTTGTTTGTTTTGGAGAGGGTGAAAACAGGCTGCTCCTTGGAGGCAAGGATTCTGAAGCTTCGTGCCACAAACTTTGGGCATGTTGCAAGGAGAGACCAGTCTTTGGAGAGGGATATCATGTTTGGGAGAGAAAGACCATCGATGAGATGGATAGATTCAGTGATTGGGGTAGTGGGAGTAGATGAGTCAGAGACAATGAGGTTGGCAAAGGATAGAGCAGGGTTTAGGGCTCTTGTACATAGGATTGCTATGAGGCGCAAGTGACTTGATGGCACATAAAACAACAACAATCATTATCACTCTCATACAGGGTACGATATGTTTTGCCATGGCCACAAAGATCTCACAGAACCATACTCATGGTGATAAAGTTCGTTAGGGAATGCTATAGGTTAAAATCCATGTTAGCAACAGGATACAAATTCTTAGTTCAGACAGCTTCTCAAGCTGCTCATAGAGCCCAGAGCCTTCAGTTTTCTTAGTCCTGCAAATTATGGCATTTCCTCTCCATTTCCAAGCAAGCTTAGTTAGATTCTGGCTCCGACTCTGTGGACAGCAGTCCCAAATCAATGTCCCTACTTTGTCTCACGTTGATTCACTGTGACAACTTCTGCTCCTGTTGCTCTTGTGTAGGTCCCAGTTCAACTGGAACAGAAATCTCGGGTCTCTGTGTTCTCTGCTTCTTCCTGTTTGATCAGATTGATGTTCCCATTTTCTCCTGCTACACATGATCAATTAAAACTTAGTGGAATGAGATAATAGACTAATTTCACAATGATCTGTTTACACACACTCTATTTCAGATTCTTTCTCAGTCATGGAGTGTAAATGAAAATTGATGGTCAAGAAAGCTATTTGAATGATAATTCTATGATACCACAATTAGCCAAAGTAGACCCACACACCCAATGTTATAACAAAATTGCAGAACATTGAAAGGAATGTAGAAATATTGTTCGCCGTTACGGTAGATTAAAAAGTATACAAAAGTCTGCAAGAAGTAAGTCTAATCAAAGGAATTAACCAGAAAGAAAGACTCAAGAATCAACAAAATCACCATTTTCTTTTTTTTCTTTTTCCTTTTCTTTTTTTTTTTTTACAGTTTTTTTTTAATTGGGAAAAACATATTGGGGGTGCAAGGAGGTGAGGGTTGGGGGCAGAAGGGTGAGGATGGGCCAGGATGCAGTTGCAGAGCTGCACAGTT